AAAATGAATACCAATCCTTCTCAAACTTTTCCACAAAAACAAGAGGAAGGAATGCTTCCCACCTCATTTTAGGAGGCCAGCATTGCCTTTATTAAAACCTGCCAAGATGCCACAAGAAAAGAAAATTACAGACCAGTATCTGTGATGAACATAGATATAAAAATCCTCAACAAAATATCAGCAACCCAAATTCAACAATACAGTAAGAGGTATGATCAAGTAAGATTTATTTCAGGGATGCAAGGGTGGTTCAACATCCACAAATCAATCAAAGTAATACGCCACATTAACAAAATGAAGGATAAAAACCATACGGCCATCTCAACAGATGCAGAAAAAGCATTTGACAAAATTCAACACCCATTTTGATAAAAGCTCTCAACAAAGCAGGTATACAGAGAACGTAACTCAGCATAATAAAGGCCATACATGACAAGCCACATCATATTCAATGGTGAAAGCCAAAAGCTTTTCCTCTAAGATCAGAAACAAGACAAGGACACCCATTCTTGCCGCTTTTATTCAACATAATAGTTCGCCCTTGAACAATGCAGGGATTAGGGGTGCCAAACCCTTGTGCAGTTGAAAATCTGAGTATACTTTTGAATCCCCCAAAACTGAACTACTAATAGCCTACTGTTGACCAGAAGCCTTACCAATAACAGAAAGAGTTGATTAACATATATTTTGAATATTATATATATTATGTACTGTATTCTTACAACAAAGTAAGCTAGAGAAAAAAAAATGTGATTAGGAAAATCCTGATGGAGCTAGAGTGTATTATGCTAAGCAAAAGAAGTCAGTCAGAGAAAGACAAATACCATATGATTTCAGTCCTGTGGAATTTAAGAAACAAAACAGATCAACAAATGCGAGGGGCAATACAAAGAACAGAAAAGGAAACAAACTATAAGAGACTCTTGATGATAGAAAACAAACTGAGTGTTTGATAGAGGGGCGCTGCGGGGGGGGGACTAGCTGGGTGATGGGGATTAAGGAGGGCACCTGTTATGAGCACTGGGTGTTGTATGCAAGTGATGAATCACTGAATTCTCTTGAAACCAATATTGCACTGTATGTTAACTGACTAGAATTTAAATAAAAATTTGAAGAGAAGAAAAGAAAAAAAAAAGAAAATCCAAAAGGACAATACATTTACAGCAATGTCTGTAGTTACTGAAAACAAAACAAAACAAAACAAAACAAAAAAACAAGAACATGTATTAAGTGGACCGACAGTTCAAACCCACGTTGGCCAAGGGTCAACTGTAGTACTGAAATCCTAGCCAGACCAATTACACAAGAAAAATAAATAAATAAAAGGCATCCAAATTGGAAAGGAAGAAGTAAAGGTCACTATTTTCAGATGATATATTATATGTAGAAAACCGTAAAGACAACACCAAAAAACTATTAAAACAAATTCAGTAAAATTGCAGGATAAAAAATACATAAAAATCTGTTGCATTTTTATACACTAATAATGAACTATCAGAAAAATAAATTTAAAAATCAATCACATTTACAACTGCATCAAAAAACCCCAAATACGGGGCGCCTGGGTGGCTCAGTTGGTTAAGCAACTGCCTTCGGCTCAGGTCATGATCCTGGAGTCCCGGGATCGAGTCCCGCATCGGGCTCCCTGCTCGGCAGGGAGTCTGCTTCTCCCTCTGATCCTCCCCCTCTCATGCTCTCTGTCTCCCATTCTCTCTCTCAGATAAATAAATAAAAAATCTTAAAAAAAAAAAAAACAAAACCAAATACTTAGAGATCAGTTTAACCAAGGAGGTGAAAGCCTATATACTGAAAACTGTAAGTTAAAGAAACTGAAGACAACACAAGTAAATGGAAAGACATTCCATGCTCATGGATTAGAAGAACTAATAGTGTTAAAATGTCTATACTACCCAAAGCCATCTAGAGAGTCAATGCAATTCTTACCAAATTCCAAACACATTTTTCACAGACATAAGGCAAAGAATCTTTAAAATTTGTATGGAACCACAAAAGACTCCGAATAGCCAAAGCAATCTTAAGATAGAACAAAGCTGGAGGCATCAGGCTCCCTGGTTTCAAACTCTATCACAAAGCTGTAGTGATTGCTGGCCTACTGTCATAAAAACAGACACAGATCACCAGCACAGAAGAGAGAGTCCAGAAGGAAACCCACACATCTATGGTCCAGTACCTTATGACCAAGGAGCCAAGAATATACAAGGGGGAAAGAACAGTCTCTTTAATCAACGGTGCTGGGAAAACTGGACAGTCACATGCAAAAGAATGAAACTGTACCACTATCTTACACTATAGACAAAAATTAACTCAAAATGGATTTAAGACTTGAATATAAGACCTGAAACCATAAAACTCTTAGCAGAAAAATTAGGGGAAAAGCTGCTTGACATAGGTCCTGGCAGGGATTTTTTTGGATCACACTCCAAAAGCAAAGGCAACAAAATCAAAAATAAATAAGCAAAACTACATCAAACTAAAAAGCTCCTGCCCAGCAAAGAAAATCACCAACAAAATAAATATGCAACCTACCACCTGGGAGAAAAGATTTGCAGATCACAGATCTAATAAAAGGTTAATATCCAATATATATAAAGAACTCATACAACTCAATAACAACAACAAAAAACAAACAATGTGATCAAAAAGTGGAAGGATTATCCAAATGGACATTACCCAGAGAAGACACACACAGAGCCAACGGGTATGTGAAAAGACGCTCAACATCATTACTCATCAGGGAAATGCAAAAACAAAAACAAAAACAAAAACAACAACAACAATGGGATACCACCTCACACTGGTTAGAAGGGTTAGTATCAAAAAGGGGAGAAATAACAAACATGAGCGAGGAGGTGGAAGGAAGGGAACCCTGGTGCACTGTTGGTGGGAATGTAAGTAGGTGCAACCACTGTGGAAAACAGTATGCAGGCTCCTCAAAAAATTAAAGGTAGAACGACCCTACAATCCAGCAATTTCTCTTCTGGCCATTTATTCAAAGAAAACAAAAACACCTATTTGAAAAGATATATGAGTCCCCATGTTCATTGCAGCATTATTTATAATAGCTAAGATAGGAGGACAACCTATGTGTCATGGAGGGATGAACTGATAAAGAAGATGCGCTGCATGTATATAAAGTGAAATACTATTCAGCCATAATAAAGAACGAAATCTTTCTGTTTGCAACAACACGGATGGACCCTGAGGGCATGACGCTAAGTGAAAGAAGTCAAAGACAAATACTGTACGACATCACTTTTACATGCAATCTAAAAAACCAAAAAACTGAACTTAAAGATACAGCCAACAGATTGGTGATTGACGGGCAGGGGGATGCGTGTGAAATGGGTGACAGAGGTCAAAAGGTACAAACTTACAGGTATAAAATAAGTAAGTCACAGGATGTAATGTACAACATGGTGACTATAGTTAATAACACTGTATTGCAAACTTGGAATTTGCTGAGAGAGTAATCTTAAAAGTTATAAGAAAAAAGTTTTGTAAAACAAGACAAAACTGGATTTAAACAGATAAGCCATACACCACTACTCAGGGGACTCAGAAAGTACAGAGAACTGCAAAAATCTGCACGGGAGGCTGCCCTCATATCTGCTAAAGGAGAGCTTTGTACACTGGTGAGTGCGTGCACAGAACAGCATGTAAAGTGCTAGGCTCCTCTCTACTCAGAGCAGTGCGCACTGCATCACACTCAGGGGTACAGGAAGAAGCAGGGAGTTCCTGGGGGATACTGAAGAAGCTCAGGAAGAATAACAATGCAGGGTGTACGGAAAGTGCCTTACGGGTTTTCCAAATCCCTGGGCATGTACCATCTCATAGGTGTCTTTTGAGATCCTACAAAAAGTCGCTGCTGCAGCCAACTTCTTTAATTCAGTGGTAACCTCTGAGTCATCACTGTCTCTTGACCCTAATTCTGGGGGAGAGGAGCACATAAAATTGGTCTAATTTCCCTCAGTTGGGATGGTCCTTCAACTGTTGATCTGAATCACTAAGAAACGCTGTTACTGCGACTTTAAAGGACTGCAAATGAATAAAGACAATAGTAACAAAAATAGGTAACATTTATTCCTCTGTGTTAGGCACTGTTCTAAGCTGTAAGGTGCAGAGTCAAGCATGGAGGCATGAGGGTCTGGAATAAGCCCCAATCATGGAGAGCTTTGAAGCACAGGTTTTGGAGCCGCAAAGACAAGGGTTTGAAATCTGGTTCCAAACATTATCTGTGTCTCTAAGCCTCAGAGCCCGATCAGGAGCCTAGCCCACTGAGATGCTCAAACTGATAGTGCAGAAATGCTTAAGTCAGTGGCAGGCACACAGCAGCTCCTCAATTAACTCATGATGATAATCATGAGGATGTCAATCACGTTGGTGTTCCTTCCCCGGCGCTAGCAATAACAATAACCAATACTGGTATAATATTAATCCCCAACACTGATACTGTGCTTACCCCACGCCAGGAACCGTGGGTTACATTTACTTTGGAAGTGGGTTACATTAACTAATTCATTAAATCCTCAAAACAAGCCTATATAGGTACTGTTTTCAGGTCCACCTCTCAGATGAGAAAACTGAGGCACGGAGATTACATACCTTACGCAAGGTCACGCAGCTGGAAGTGCAATAAAAGGAACGACAACCTTTACTAAGATCCAGTCTGTAATAAGCTCCTTACCTCCCTTAAATCCGCACAATAACCCGAAGGGTTTGCGGTTCCGCCCACTTTACAGATGCCAAGACTGAGGCTCGGTCCCAGGGCCGAGCCCGCACTCACCCAGCCTCCCGGATGCGACGAAGCACGACTCCGCCGTCCGCCTGGGGCTCGTCCTCCGGGTCCCGCGCCGGTGCCTCCCTCTCTCGCGGACGCCGCGCGGCAGAGCGCCTTCTCCTCCGCGGAGCCACAGCCTGCCAGGGTTCCGCCGCCGCCGCCATGGCCCTCTGACCTCACGGCGCGCCGCCTGACGTCATCACCGCGCGCCAGCGCTCGGGGAACTGTAGGGGGCGATAGGCGCTGCCGGCGCGTGATCCTGGGGCCTCTCCGCCGCGCGCGTAGGTACCGGGAGGGAGCCGCTGGCGCCCCGCTGCCGCCCGCACTGTGGGGGCCGAGCCCGGAGCGCTGGGCTGCCGGGCTACTCCGGCGGGTGGGCGGCGCGGGGACACTGAGGGGCGGGACCGTGGCCGAGAGCGCCTCTTGGCGGCCCCCTCCGCGCGGCGATCGCCGGCATTGACCCCCCCCACATACACACACCTTTGCCCACAAATTCCCAGGAGCTGAGGCCAAACACCTCCCAGTGCCCTTAGCCCGATCCCCATCGCAGTGGTTAGCTTCCCCTTTCCTGGCCCGCTGACTCACTGAGGCCACTTCCTATACCGCCACCTTCCTGCCTCCAAGCCATTGCCGGCCACTTCTTGGCTCCCTTGGGTCGTTATTGCAACTTCCCAGGCTGCCCGAGCCTTCTGTGGTCACATCCCAGCACCTGCCCTACCCCAGGGACATTATGGACCTCTTCTGGACCTTTCAGAGATAAGAGCTTGGACCTTGCAGTGTAGGGCCCAGTCTTCTGGGAAGGAGGGATAGGGGGTTTCAGGCTGCTGTCCTTGATTCCAGTAGCTTCCGCGCCCCTCTCCACAGGAATCCCATGAGTATGGCCCCATAGAGGGCTCACCTCAAGATAATCTAAAGCTGAGAAAAGATAGAGATTTTACAGTCCTCAAAGAGTCAGTTCGGTCCTCTCTAGATAATTCTCTCTAGGAAAGGAGCTTTAAAAAGCTATTGTATTCCTGGGAGGATGAAAGATGGTGAGCAAGCATTTGAAACCCTGTCTCTGGGACATCAAGCTTGGACAAAGTCACAAGAGAAATACAGTTCTGGAGGGACCAAGGGGTTTCCTTGTGGAAAAATTAAACCCTGTTTCGTTTTTCTGGAGGGTTATCCAGACCAGTGTGGGAAGGTACCGGGAGGCCAGTTTTAGCATGGTGCAAGGATAAAGTTAACACTCTGAGTTGCCTGTGTCTCTGGAGGGAGTAAGCCAGAGACCAGGTAATTTTTAAAGAGTGCAAGAGATAAGTAGAGTAAATGATGCCAGGGTCCCTTCTGACTGAAATTCCATGATACTTAATCATCTCTTCTCTTGGAATTTGAAAGCCACTTGTTAAACTCCTATTTTGAAAACTTGCCCAGCTCTGGAATTCATGTTCAGATTACTTTTGAGCTGTCAAGGTGACAGTTCCTTAATTTGGGTTCCATTATTACTGTAACAGCCGCCTTATTTGTATAGCTGTTCTTGGCACACAGAGCTTTTTCACACTAGTTACTTAAATTTATCTTCTGTGAGGCATAACTGTTCAAAGAGACAGAGGAACTTGCTCTGAAGTCCTGCTGCACTCTCTTTTTTCTTCTGAAACAATTTTTCAACTTTCTAGAAGACTCTTTGTGAAGTACACCATTTGCCTAACCCTGCTGGGTCACATGCTCTCTCATGGGTTTCTGAAATAATCTATTCCTTGTGGTTTATTTTAGGACCAAGGCACTGATATTTGAACCGGAAGCTTCACAAAGTTGAAAAGAATCTTCAGAACGGCTTTGAACCCAGACAAGCTAGGAATCTCTTCTGAACACCACCTTCCGCATGCATCTCCCCGACTGGGCTTTCCTGGCCAGGAGCTTTTTGAAGAAGTCGTTCTGCAGAGAGCCAGAATGCTGATGCTCATGGAACCAGCTTAGTGGATTTGACTTTTCTGGTAGAATTCTCTTGCTTTATTATATACTCTCTCCCAGAGTTCTAAGACGTGTGGAGGTATTCAGGGCACCAAAGAGCCTGCAGGGAAGGAAGGAAGCACTTTCATGCTGAATGAAAACCAAGCAGGTGACAGCTGTGGCTGAAAACATTTAAACCTTTCACGCCTGGATTTCCTGGATCCGGGACACAAAGGAATAGTCGCTGCTGGGGTGCAAGAAGCGATCCCAGACAAGAAAACCCAAATAAATAGAATGAGGGCAACAGGCAAGTAAATGGCCACCATTACCCCAACAGAGCCGACATCAGCCTCCTGGTGAGTAGCAAGGCCTGTGTGGCTTACTTCCTGCCAGGCTGCTGGACCCATGTTTTGGATTAACTGAAAATCCCCAGCCAGGCTGTCTTGATTTTATTAAGGGGGAGGGGTGGGGAGACATTTTTTTCTCCGAGCAGGCGAATCAAGCATGTGAGCCATTTCTCTCCAGAGCTGCCGGGTTGTGACTTTGCATTGTTGGAGCAAGTCGGGCATTGCTGGTAGATTGCAGAAAAGGTGGCCATGGCCGGGTCACACGGTCGGCTTTGGTGACGGTGTGGGCGCTGTAGGCTTCATTGGTAAGAGACGAGAAATGGCTGCACATTTCTAGTGGAACTGCACCACCGGAAGAGGTTTGGCCAGTCTGCTTCTTGAAGGGTATTATACAACGTCTGCTAAACTCAGCTTCCACTCAACCCCAACTGGGTTAAGCCTCTCTCGTCAATTGCTTCAGCAAACATTCATTGAGGAATGAAAGCAAAAGGCATGGTTTAAATAGAAGGAGCAGGACTCGGTGACCGGTTATGTGCACGGAAGGCACAAAGATGGAGTTGTTCAAAATGACACCCCGGTTTTCTTTTGTGTGCCTGAATGAGGGTGCTTTCACCCAGAGAACACAAGGAGCGGGTAAACGGGGGCCCGGCATGGGGGTTTCTGATTGGGGCTGACACGTTTTTGAGGCTTTTTGATCTGACTTGCCCTGCACTAGAAACAGAGTTCCCACTTGTCATCCGGAAAGAGAAGGTGGGAGCCAGGGAGGGTGTAGGGGGAGGGCGTAGATCCAGCGAGAAGAATGCGGGTGACAGAGTGGTCACAGCTCCTCCTCCTTATGCTCTAGCCTGATGGGTGTGCTTTCAGAGAGGTAAAACCCAGGCCCAGCCTTTGGGGAGTCTGCTTTGTGTGTCTTAAACAGGTGAATTATGGTTACATTGCAGAGTAGACAGAGTCCTTTGCGAAGAACAGAGGGTTATGGAAATTGAGAAGAGAGATTCCTTTGCGTGGAGGAAATCAGAAGTTTGATGAAGGGTCGTGTCAGAGTTATTCTTAACATACTGTTAGGGTTTTGCCAGGCAGAGGGGTTCAGGGCTCCACTGTGAACTCTCATGAGCCCCGTTTTCTCATTATAGACTCCCTATCCTGCATTGAAACTGTGTGTTTACTGTCTCCCTTTGATGGCCACGGGCCCAGGTCTGGCAGAGGGAGAGCACACCGTCAGGCCTAATTTACTGTTCATTAAATGAACACATGAATTTCTGATCCAAGGGATATCCAAGGGATATTTCCGGAGATAATCGTGCCCAGCAGCTGTGAGGCGGGCAGCTAAGACATCCCCTAACTATTTTATTATCAGAGCCTTAAAAGACAGCATCCCAAACCCTGTGGTTGTATGGTTAAGGGCCCGTGTCTCAAGAGATGGCCCTGGGTGCTCTGTTTCTCCTCCAGCTACTCTTCGGTCTTTTTGGCCAGACGGCCTGACGGCTGGATTGAGGCATATTTTTAGTTTGACTGGACGGCCCTTGCAAAATGGTTTTTCTTATCTGTTTGTAGCTACTGGGTTCTTTCTCCCCTGGGGCCACCAGAAGGCTTCTCAAATACTGAGTAATGAGCCCTTCTCACGCTGGGAAAGAGGAAGCTGTGTTTTCAAACGCCTTGATCCCTGGATGAAAGGAAACATGGCTCCGTTCTGTTCTCTTGCCAGGTGGAATTATTTTTTCCTTTATGATGGTTCAAAGGTAAAGGAAGAAGGAGATCCAACCAGAGCTGGTATTTGTTACTTCTACCCTCCTCAGGTAAGCGCCCCAGCGGGTTACTCTTCCGGGGGTGGGGGGGCCCTACGTCCTCCGAGTGGTGGCTTTTCAAAAGTATAGCATTGACATTGGGACAGTGTTCTTTGCATCACCCAGGCATTTGACATTTCTACCCTCTTATCCTTAGTTGTACTGTTTCTTGTTGTTCTGGTCTTGAAAGCCCCAGACAGCTCAGCACTTCCATCCTCTCTAGCTCTCTGCTACCCTCCTGATTTTCTGTCTGCCTCCCCTTGCTCCCGGGTTTTCATCAGCAAAAACACTTTTTTAAATTAACACTTCCAAATTAAAAGTGAAACACTTTTTAAAATTTAAAAATTTTTTAAAATTAATTTTTCTTGAGACACTATTTTTTTTAAAGATTTATTTATTTGAGAGAGAGAGTACGCGTGTGTGTTGGGGGAAGGGCAGAGAGAGAGAGAGAATCTCAAGCAGACTCTCTGCTGAGCTTAGAGCCCAACTTGGGGCTCTGTGCCACAATCCCGAAATCATGACCTGAGCTGAAACCAAGAGTCAGATGCTCAACCGACTTAGCCACCCAGGCACCCCCTAAAACACTTTTATTCAAAGGTATACAAAAGCAGGAAGGAGAGTATCGCAAGCCCTCATGAACCAGTTAATTAGTAACAATAATTCCTTAATATCATGTGGTATTATCTATATTCAAATTTTGCCTTCCTGTCTTAAAGGTTACTTAATCAGACCTTGCTCCTTCCATTCCTCCAGCCCTCCTTCCCTCCTTACCTGCCCCCCTCCACTTCCTAGTCACGATCCAAACAAGGTCCACACATTCCATTGCTTCTTTTGTGTTTTAAGTCTCTTTTATTGTGTACCGCCCCTCACCCACCCACCCAGCCCCTTTCCCCACTACGCCACAGAATTACCGAAGAAGCCAGGGCATTTGTGCAGTAGAATGTCAGAAGGTCCCACATTCTGGATTGGCCTGATCACTTCCTCAAGGCCGTGTCGTTTCAGATCTTCCTTCCCCTGTAGTTCCTTTATAGTAGTTGTAAGATCTAGAGCCTCAGTTAAGTGTCAGTTCCGTTCTTTTAAGCAAGACTTCTTCCTGGGGGTGTGTACCTTTTCTGTTGCATTACAAGATGTCTGGCTGCCCCGCAGGTTAGCTAATCTAAGACCGATGAGGAGGTCTGTGTATTTGCTCACGTGATCATGCTCCCACTTGGGTAGCTGGGATGAATCTAGGCCACTCTGGCCACTCTGCAGCGGATCTGAATAGGGACCAAAGGCTCCCGCTGCTACCCAAGCACGGGCCGCAGACTTTGCCTGACAAGGGCCCTGGAGTCAATATTGAGACCTTGCCAGGCACGGAAGGTTGACATCACACTCTCTTCTTTGTTGTTGCTATTACCACCCTTAACTATGAAAACCACGCTCAGCTCCCGGGCCATCTGAAACCAGGCAGCAGCCTGGATCTGGCCTGCCGGCTGCAGTCCGCTGTGGCCTCAGCCCTGCTTCAAGGGATGCCTCATGAGTTCGACAGTTTCAGCTTCCCCTCTGGACTTTGCTGCTTCCCCACAGACCCTGCTCGAACAGCAGGAGTTGCTCTGTAGCCAGATTGCGGGCGTCGTGCGCTGTATCTCGGACATCTCCGCCTCTGCTCCTACCCTCGTCCGTCTGCGGAAGCTGAAGTTCGCCATAAAGGTGGATGGAGAGTACCTTTGGGTAAGTTGGCTGGACAGAACCCGCTCCTCCAGGGTCGCCTCCGCCGTGAGTCATCTGTCTTGGTGATGAGTGCTATGTCGCCAAGGTGCTCTGGAGCCTGGGACCCCTCTGCACCCCCAGGGGCTGCGTGCGGGACTGTCCACGCTTCCCCTGTCCCTCTCTGCAGGTGGCACCGTAACCGAGTGCTCTCCAGAGTATTTCTGACCTGTCCTGTGTTGCACATGGCTGCTTTCTTGTTGCCTTTGAGAGACTTCAGCCAGCCTGTGGAAATTCTTTCTGCCCTGTGATGCAGGTCAAGTTTTCAACCTCTGTTTTTTCTCCCCTGTACTCTCCACACTTACAGGACAATGACCCAGAAACTCGAAGACATTGATTTATAGATGTTAGGTTTCAAAGAACCATTAAAAAAAATAATGAAAACGACTTCTTTACAGTTGATGGCACCATATACACTAGGGTCTTATTGTCCCATGCCTACGTTTATTTAAAACTGATTTCTGAGGTGAAAGGATGTTTAAGTGTGAGGTGGTGTATTCAGCTTTGTGGGTATGCCCGCCAGCGTTTTACGATGATGACCATTTTCTCACGTCCCAAACCAGTGAAGGAATTTTACAGTAAACACTCATATAGACTTCCTAGGTTCTACAGTTACCATTTTATTATATATGTTATTTATTACAGTCACTTTATCACGTCCCTCCATCCCTTCATCTTCCGGCAATCCAGTTTTTATTTTAATGCTTGCCAAAATTGCACACACTAGTATACGCCTCCCCCCGCTCCCCCCCCCCGCCCCCAGTACCTCATTGTGCATAACATTAATTAGAGTTCAGTGGTGGTTTGTACTTTTTTTCCTTTGGGGGTAAGAGTTCCATACGCTGAAACACACAAACCTTGAGTGTACCACTTAATGCATATGGACAAATGATGCTCCGTGTGACAGAGGCCCATCAAGATACAGAATATTAGCATCACTCTGGGCAGCTCCCCGACATCCTGTTAATTCTCACTCCCGAGTCCCAGGCAACCATCATTCCGATTTTTTCCCACCACAGATGAGTTTTGCCTGTTCTAGAAGTCACAGGAGTGAAATAGTACGTGTAGTATTCCTCTCCGCAGGTTTCTGTCGTGCGTGTGACCTCGTGGGGTGCGTATCTGCAGTTCCTTCCTTTTCATTGTTCACCAGCATTGTCGGAATGTCCGTTGTCTGGATCTAGCGGTCTGCTTACTCACTCTCCTTTTTCTAGATACGTGAACCGTGTCTAGTTAGGAACAATTAAGAATAAGGCCCCTGGGAGCATTTCTAGACGTGTCTTGTTGTAGATATCACTTTTCATTTCTCGTGGGTAAATATCTAAGGTATAGATTTGTGAGGTTACAGGGTAGGTGTATGTTCATTTTATGAGAAACTGCCAGACCTTTTCCCCAAGCGATTTTACCATTTTGCACTCCTACCATGTGTGAGAATTCCAGTTCTTCCACGTCCTTGTCAACACATGCTGTCCGTCTGTTCAGTTCGAGCCATTCTGCTGGGTGTGTAGTGATACCACATTGTGGTTTGCATTTACATTTCCCTAATGACTAAGGATATTAATGGCCACTGGTCTGTCTCTCTTCGAGAAGTGTCTATCCAAAGCTTTTCTGCCCATTTTTAAAATTAGGTTTTCTTTCTTTATTTAGTCTTGTGAGTTTTTTCTATATCCTGGATATCAGCTGTTTGTCAGAGATATATTTTAATTTTTTTTAAAAGATTTTATTTCTTCATTTGAGAGAGAGAGACAGAGAGAGCACAAGCAGGGGGAGAAGCAGAGGGAGAGGGAGAAGCAGACTCCCCGCTGAGCAGGGAGCCCGACATGGGGCTCAGT